GCCAGGTCACCAAGGTGCGACTGGGACGGGAGCTGGCGGGATGGTGCCAAGCCGCATGTCGAGTAGGTGTGCGAGGATGGAGGAGGCAGGAGTAGGGGGGAGGAATGGTGGGTTGGCGAGAAGACGTAAGGAAGTGGGGGAGGGAGACGGGCAAACTGATGTGCTCCTCGACCTCGCCCTCTGCTGAGCCAGATGTTCTTCTCCTGAGCAGTGCTGTCTCGCGAGAGCACGTGGAATACGCCAGATTAGCAAGAGGAGGACGAGTAGGGGCAGAGTGGGGATATGAGGAGGAGGGAGCGAAGGAGGAGGAAGTGGAATGGCCCCGTGTGAGACGTGGAGCGGAGGATGCGAGGGGATGAGGAGGCGGATGAGAAAAATGATGATGAAAAGGGGAGCGAGCCCCCCCTCTCGCCATGGGCTCCATGGGAAGAGCTTGCGAATGATGACAGGGACAAGGGATACGGAGCCCTGGAGGAGGAGGAGCTGGAGAGGAGGAGGACGAGAGTGAGAAGCAAGGGGAGGGGGAGGGGGAGGAAGCGGGATAGGAGAGCAGCCCTCATGCCTCTGACGGTGCCTCGGGAGGCGTCCCGCGCCGTGGGTTTGAGGGAGAGCCGGCTTCAGGGGCGAGCCATGCAGGAGGAGGACATGAGAAGGATGCTGGATGAGAGCGAGGAGCAGGAGGAGGGGAGAGTGGGGAAGAAGGTGGAGCACGACGACGACGACGACGACGACCGACGACGACGACGGACGACGACGACGACGACGACGACGACGACGACGACGACGACGACCCCCCCCCTGGACGCAATTGGGGCCGCCTCACCGAGCAGGCATTGCAGCGCTGATGCTCGCTTAGGGCCGCCCGCCCTCACCTTTGCATGATGCACGTGTGGATCGTCCTTCTCCGTTCGGATCGTCATCGGATTGACTAAGGTTATCGATCGCTCGTCCCCTCCTCCCCACGCACCGCCTGGCTGGCGCATACTCCGCACTTTTTGCCTTCCTTACTTTCTGCCTGCCTTAGTCTGCTGCGCCAGCATGGCTCAATTCGTTTTCGCGCTCCGCTAGGTCAGCGTTTCTTTGTCATGCACGCCCCAGGTGTTCGCCTCAAGTCTGCGCAACGTCGAAATGGGGGGGAGGAGTTGGGATAGGACAGCGTGCTCTCACTCGCGCCATCGGTGCCTCGGGAAGCGATGCTTGGAGAGGGTTGCGGTGGAGGAGGCGGGCGCTCTGGGGTACCAGCAGAAGGCACGCATGGAAAACAGGATTGGGGGAAGGTGGGGTAAGAGCTGGATAAGGTTCAGCAGGAGAAGGAGGAGGATTACGTAGAACGGGTGGGGCGTACTGCGTGCGGCGGACCGCGCGACCTTATGAGTTTCTGCTGCGTAGTCCAGGGTCGCGCAGGCCCTGCAATTCGCAGCACCTGGTATACATTATTATATGATTAGGTATATGTGCTGATATCAATGAGACCAAGTATAAGGAAGCAGTCCTGATCCACGAGCCACAGCAGCAGTAACGGCCCTTTGCACCAAATATTGCCGACAAATCCACGGGGAACTGTGCGCAGCAGCTTTGGGAGGTGGCCAGCTTCCCGTGGAGAGCCAGCACGATCGAGGTCCTGCAGCCGTGGTGCGAGCAATTCAATTCTCCAAAGGTGGCCCAGTGGACCACTGCCTCGACCAGGCTGGCAGAGACCGTGACGAGCACGCAGCTCGCGTGCCCCATCGTAGGTGGACGCGCCGCACGGGAGAATTCGGCGGCCAGTTGCGCGGCAAGCAGCGCAGCAAGCGCCAGGGATGTGCAAGCGTTTCTGCCTGGCGTCCCGTTGTCTCACGGCAGCACATCCGGCAGAGGGTTGCAGCCGACCGTTCTGGACCACTCGGTCAAACCTCATCGGCGCGGCATCATTTTTGTCGATGCGCCGTAAGGGCGTCTGGCTTATGCTCTGCTCATGAGCCAGGCCAAACCCCGTCGCAACGTTGGTGCGGGTTGAGGCGCGATAGTTTGAGATCAGTTCGATCATGGTTCCCAGCACTGGTCAGTGCCCTCTTGCACAGTGCCTCATCCAGCAGTTCCCTGGAACGTGCCAGCGCATCGACTGATATATTGGCTTCCGTTCAGGGTCCCGGAGACCACGGCAGCAGGATCTGACCACTGACTCGCGGCCGAGCTCTGCCTCGGGCCACAGGTGGCTGGACAGCTGGAGGACCTGCAGGCGGAGCGGCTCGTTCATGCGGGACCCGGCTCAGCGGAGCTGGCCAGGGGGACGAGGAGTGTGGCACCGCCCAGACCGCCGCCGCCCTCTCCGCCGCAGGTCCCCAGGGCACCCAGGAAGCCCACCGAGACGGCATACCCCCAGACGGCACCAAGGTCGTTAGACCTGGCTCCTCGGCGGTCAGCTGCAGGCGTCCAGCCACCAACATCAGGGACAGGCTTACGGCTGGGCTGTCATGCGCAGAGTGGTTTTACCCCCGGGCGGTGAAAATTTCGTGCACAGGGAGAGGAGCATTTTAACCGACCCCCTAATTTTTTCTGAAATTTGGGCCTGTACCGACGGCAGTGCACTCTGTACATTGTTTCGTCGGGCGCTCTATGTGTTTCTGTGTGGCCCCAGACTTCCCGGGCCCCCGGGACTGGAGCACGACCACAGTCATGGCTTTCATCATGTCCTCGGTGCCTTCATCATTCCATCGTCGAACCAATCTGGGCCATCTAGTGATCTGGTCGGGGTGGGGTAGGGGGACGCACTCACCAAGGGGGGGCGTGGGACCCAATAAGAGGGCCTTCCTGCTCGAGGACTCTTCGCGAGAAGGAGGAGGGGGTGGGGTACGCAGTGCGGTATAGAGTGCGCTGCACTGCGGTATAGTCGTTATAGAATCACGTGTTGGTCGTTGAGCGCGCTGTACTCTGGCGCTGCAACCCCTCTATAAATGACAGGCTGCTCGTAGCGTTGCCAAAGAGTTCGCCAGCCGTGCGGGCGCAATGGACGAGCCGATACTGTTTGCGCACAGGCACTGTTGTTTCGAGTTGCGGGCACTGTAGCAGGGAATATCAGCAGCGTTCACCCGCCTTGGCTGGAGCCCCAGCTGTGCACCGATAGGAGGCTGGGCATCCGATGCTCGCAGATGGATCGCCCCCTCGCTCCCGATCTCCATAATAGCTGCGCCTAGCAAAACAGTGTTCGATGCTCGTACCACCACGGGGTCATACTTAGCCAAGCGCGGGTCTGGCCGTAGAGATGGCCCAGCGGCAACATCGAGCAGCAGCACGACAGCAGGCCCTGCGCAACGACTGGGAGGCATCCAGCGATCGGTCGGCAGATGGATGGCGATGATCTTTGAGCGCGGCCAATGCATGTCGGTCCTGAAGCAAGCTCCATTGTTTTATGATTTTCGTTGGGACAGACAGTTCTGCTTTTGGCGGGAACGTCGCAACTTGGCGTGGTCAAGGGAGGCGCACGTGTGGGAGGGCTCGTAGCGCAGCGGGTCGACTGAGCGAGGTGCACCCTGAGGTGAGTGAGCATGCAGAGAAGGCGGTGTAATCCTCACGTACAGGAGGTTCAGCATCTCCAGGCATACGGCCGAGGGGCAACTTCGACGAGGAACGGGGGCACGAACAGTTGCGTCTTAGCGGGAGTAGAGGTGGACACGCGGGATGCGGCTTGAATGACGACGGCGAGGACACATCCAGGTGGGCGAGACGGGAGGGGAAGGAGGAGGCGGAGGGCAGGTGAAGAAGGGGGGTAACGGGGAGGAGGAGGAGGAGGAGGAGGAGGAGGAGGAGGACGTGGAATAGGAGGGAGGGGATGGGAAGGGCGATGAGAAGGGAGATGATAAGGAGTGATGTGCAAACATGCCTTCGAAGGTTCGTCCGCGCCAGAGTGTTCGCGCATCCTCCCCAGGTGCAGTTTTCATCCTGCGTCGCGCTTGGATCACACCTGGACTCGGAAGGGGCCTGCAGAGGCTGCGCACGGTAACAAGAAACAGCCGTCATGGCATCTTCATAACGCGAGAGATGTGGACAGGAGGAGGAAGTGGAGGGCCAGGTTGCCGAGAACGGGCAGCTTGAGGAGAAGGCGAGGCGCTGTGCGGAGGACACCGAGGCCCTTGCCTAGTTCTTGGGCGCAGCTTGCCTCTCGCCCCTTTCTTCTCCTTCTGCTGCACCTCCTCCGCCAGCTCTTCTTTCACCTGTCCTTCTTTCTCCTAGTCCTCCTCCTCCTCCTCCTCCTCTTCCTCCTGTGTCTTCACTTTCTGCTCCTATCCAATCCCCCCCGAACCTCGTTTCAATTCGGTGGCTGGTGTCTCCGCCCCATCACCCTCTCTTTTCTCTTCTCTCATTTGGCTCTCCCTTCCCTTTCTCCTCCTTTCCCTGCCGCTTCTCTTGCCCCAGCATGCCTTCGTGACGACAGTCCGGCCTTTCCCCCTGGCGCTCCCCCCCTGCCGACCTCCAGTACCCCGCCACGGCTTACGTCGCGTCCGCGCGGACGGCCCTTGTTGCCTCGTGCAAGGAAGACTCCGCCGGCGGAAGCTCCGCGGAAGCCTCCGGAAGTAAATCATTGCGGGGGTTCAAAGATGAGTCTCTGAGGGATGAGGCCCTAAGGACAGGAACGGGTTGAACCATCACAGTTCGGAGCCACTCGTCCTTCGCGCCCCTTGGCTAACCTGCCGATCAGTGCTTTTCCCAGAGGCGTCAACGTTTGCGTCTTCATGGTTACCGGAGCCAGCAGCGAAACTAGCTGCGCCCGAGGACGATGGGGCCGAACGTGACATCGAGGGGTCCCAGCGCCCTCGCGTCAGCCCGGCAGGGTCGCTGCCGCGGCGCGGTACGTCGCCACGCTGCGGCGCTGAGCGGCAGTCTGCATTGGTCGTGCGATTGGAGCTATGGTGAGTGGTGCCTACTTGCCCTCATGTGCCCAGATGATGACGGACCCGTCGCAGAAGTTGGTACACGAGTTTATGCGAATGCGTGCGTTTCCACATGCAGGGTCTGCCCGCATGTTTTGGTTCAGGCGCAAGCCCTCTGTAGGATTTTTTTGCGAACGGCGAGGCGCACGATCGGCACCATAAGAGATGTCAGTGCGCTTGCAGCTCCTCGCCCTGGCGCTGCTACCAAATGCGGCGCGGGGCGAGCTGGAGGCCTTCGGCGTTGCGGCCGATTGGAACCTGCTCGCAGAGGCTGCAGACACGCTTGCACGCGGCAGCAGCTCGGGTAGCGAGGCGTGCGTGGTGGAGCCAGCGGAATTCAGGGACGACGTGGACTTCTACGTCGTCGAATGTAAACACACGGCAAAGATCGTGGAGTTGCGGCTCAAGGGCGACAATCTCTATCTTGGCAGGGATCCTCTCAGCGGCGGTACCCTGACAGTGGCGCTGGGCGTCGCCAACAGCGGCAGCCTTCACGTGGTGCAGTCTTGTCCCGGGCACAGGCGGCCAGACGGGGATGGAGAATGGGGCCAGTGCAGGCCGTACACCTTTGATCTGTACCGTGTTGCTGGCGACTACGGGTCGCTGTCCACGCTGGCTGTCAATGGCAAGAGCCCCCTGAGCTCGGGGCTCATGACGTTGAGCCCCCGCTTCAGCCCGGTTGCCCTCGAGTACAGCGCCACCCTGCTGCTTGGCGAGCCCTTCGAGGTGATGGCGGTGGCGAGGGAGGCGCAGAGCTCGGTCGGCATAGCGTACGGCTCGTACGACTCCTGTTGCGTGACTGCTGGGGCGGGCCGCGACTGCGAGAAGGGCAGCGCCAGCCACGAGCATTGGCGCCTGGAGAGCCCCAGCGCCACTGGCCAGTACGTGTACACCGTCTGCGCAATTGCGCCTGATGGCAAGAGCGTGACGAGCTACAGGCTCAACGTCCAAGTCCGCAAGGCCTACAGCGCGGAGCTCGCGTCCATCGAAATTCAAGGCCTGGATGGTGCGGTCCAGCTGACGCCCACGTTCTCTCCCGACGTGCGGTCGTACGTTGTGCTGCTGCCCAGGGCCAGCGCGAGGTTGAGCATCCCGCTGCAGGTGACAGCGGAGGATCCACGGGCCGAGGTTGCAGTCATGAGCAGCAGCGGGCCCGATGGCGTCGGGACAGATGATCCCGTCCGCAGCCGCGGCAGTGCAAACGTGAGCCTTCGCATGAAGGACAACGACGCTAGGATCCTCCAGGGCCTCTCCCCTGAGTGGAACCTCGTGACCGTCTTCCGCGTTACCTCCGCGGATGGGGAGGCCTCCCGGAACTACCAGGTCACCTTCCAGCAGCAGGTGAGCAATTTTTCATCGTTGCAGGACATATCGGTGCCCCACTGCAATCTCTCGCCGCCGTTCAGTCCAGAGGTCACAGAGTACTCGTGCGTCTGGAAGTACGACAGCGGTTATGACTCGGCCGACATTGCCCCTGTCATCGACGAGGAGGATTGTGTGGCATGTGAGATCCAGATGCCGACGCCCCCCTATCCGGCCGCCAGCCGCGACTCCGACGACGACCTCAGCCACGACCTGCACCTGGACCTGGAGTCTCCAGAGCGGATCCAGAAGTGGCAGTCGAACCGGACGTGGAGCTCAAGGTTCCTCTACGGCGAGAGGCGCACTTGGGGTCGATGTGAAAGCTGAGTTCTACCCCAAGAAAAAACAGTGTTAGCCAGCGTGGGCCACGAACTGTAGGCTATGGCACACTCGATGTGCAAGCCATGTGTTGTATGCTATGCGATGCGTTTTGTATATGGTTCAGTATATGTAGAGGCTGCTTGTTTAGGTTCTGGCGATAACCTGGGTTATCGGGCTCGCCCCCCCTGGATAATTTCACCCTGTCGGTTGATCTGGTCCAGACAGATCTTTCAGCATTCCCGGACGGCGCTCGCATCGTCGCAGCACGAATAGTAGCATCGCCGCAGCATCATTAGCAGCTGTAGGAGCCGCAGCACTGGTGCGCGCGGGCATATGCGGGGCTGCCCATAGCGCGAAGGTTATATGTGATCGGCTGGCCCCTCCCCCCCCTGGATGAGCCTGGCTATCGCCGATCTAGACAACAAGCCCCATGGTGCTAGCTATGTGGCGAACTCTATGCGGTGCAAGCTCTGTGATGCAAGCCGTGTGACGCGACCTCTGTGTGCCAGCTGTGTGGTGCGAGCGCGACACGCCCGCCCAGCGCAAGCGCCCGCGAGGCGCCCACGACCGGGCACCAACTGGGCACCGGGCGACGCCTCGGCGAACCCGCCCGGCGCAAGGGGTGGCCACGGGGCGCCCGCGGCCGGGCAGCAGCCGTGCACCAGGCGAACCCTCGGCAAGCCCATCCAGCGCAAAGAGCGCCCACGAGGCGCCCACGACCGGGCACCAACAGGGCAGTGGGCGAGTCTTCGGTAGTAAAGAACGCCTAGTGGAAGTGGCGGCCCAAGGCTCCCACAGCCGGGCACCAGGCGAGAACCCGACAAGCCCACTCAACGTGTACAAGGCGCCGGTGACGGGGCACCAACTGGGCACTGAGCGAGTCCTCAGCAAACCTATCCAGCGCAAGGGGCGCCCACGAGGCGCCCACGACCAGGCACCAGCCGGACACCATGCGAAGCCTTGGCAAGCCCACCCAGCGCAAGGGACGTCCACGAGGCGCCCACGACTGGGCACCAGCTGGGCACCAGCTGGGCACCAGGCGAAACCTCGGCAAAGCCACCCGAGCGCAAGGGGAGCCCATTTGGCGCGACTGGGCACCAACCGTACACAAGGCGAAGCCTCGGCAAAGCCACCGAGCGCAAGGGGCGCCCACGGGGCGCCCACGACCAGGCACCAACCGTACAAAAGGCGATGCCTCGGCAAAGCCACCGAGCGCAAGTGGCGCCCACGAGGCGCCCACGACCAGGCACCAGCCGAATACAAGGCGAAGCCTCGGCAAAGCCACCGAGCGCAAGGGGCGCCCACGAGGCGCCCACGACCAGGCACCAACCGAAACCAAGGCGAAGCCTCGGCAAAGCCACCGAGCGCAAGGGGCGCCCACGGGGCGCCCACGACCAGGCGCCGGTCGGGCACGAGGCGAAACCTCGGCAAAGCCACCTGGCAGGGCGCCCACCAGCGCTCACGACCAGGCACCAGCCGGGCACCAGGCGAAACCTCGGCAAACCTATCCAGCGCACAGGGCGCCCACGAGGCGTCCACGACCAGGCACCAGCCGGTCACCAGGCGAAACCTCGGCACACCGTTCAATTCCTTAGGTAGCCTCAGTAAGGAGCGCTAAGAGCAAGCATTTTTCGGGAAGATGCTGGATACACATCGCCCAGCCCAGCCTTGGTGAGTTCTGGGTACGCACATTGCCAGACATCTTTTCAGCGCTCATCCCTTCTATGGCTAGGTTCGCCAGGCTTCCGCATGTGAATCCAGCGCGCGACCTCCACATGAGGCGTTTCAGAAGGGCTTCGCCTTCGAGGAATCCAGAAGTTGACATCTCTCCCTCGGCGGGATGCGTTGGAAGGCCGGCGGAAGGCGGCTTGGGTCAAACGAGGGCGGCTCCGCCCGCGGAAGCTGGCGGAAGGTCGGCGGGCAGCTGGTGGAATTAGAAGATGCGCCCGTAAGGGATGACAACATTTGTGCGTCCGGGGTGTCCAGAATTGGCAACAGCATCCATATAATATGAATCCAGCCCCCTGGGTGTTCCAGCTCCTTGTTGATTAACCGACGGGAGGCACGTGCTCCCCATCACCGTCGTCAGCGAGGACAGGTTCACGCACACCACCTACCGCGTGGTCCTCGAGCGCTGGTCCCCCTGGTACATGAAGGCCGGAGGTCGACCAACACGCTGCTCAGGGCAACCTTTACCAGCCTCGAACGTATCCCTATCCTTAAGATTGTCACGCCAAAAGGCGATGACCATTCTAGGGATCCGCCCTCAAAAAATAAGGGAATCCCTAAGATTGGCATCGTGATGAGGAGGTGCCCAGCATAGGGATAGGGACATGTTCCAGGCTGGTAAAACCCTGTGGCCAGTTCGCGGCTTCTCCTCGTTCTTGTCTTCTTCGAGTCCCGGGGGCCATCGGGCGCCGACCGCGGCTCCATAGAGGCGCGTGAAGACGTCGCGCTGGGGGGGATGCCCTGCGCATCTCTCGTTCCGGAGCGAGAGCGGCACGAGAACGCAGCTCCTCCCCCTCCTCCCCCTCCTCCTCCTCGTCCTCCTCCTCCTCCTCCTCCTCCTCCTCCTCCTCCTCCTCCTCCTCCTCCCCACTCCTCCTCCTCCTCCTTCTCCTCCTTTGGTCGACCCCTTTGGAGGCGTCCTTCACCCGCGCCGTCTCCTCCGCGTCATCGACGCTGGCGGGGGTCATGGCCGTGTCCAGCGCGGGCAACATCTTGGCGCTCGCGAAGCAGGTGCAGTTCATGACGCTGACCACCAAGATCGATGGGGTTCCGCCCACGTACGCGGACTTCGCATACAACTTGAGGCCCATCTTCTGTGCAGCATGAGTCCTGGGTCCTGGGAGGAGCAGGGAAGGAGGGTCAGCAGCAGGACGACAACGAGCTGGATGAGGAGGAGGCCCAGAGTGAACCCGAGATGTGTCAACGAGGCTGCGGTACACCCTTCCGCTCCAAGGCCCCTTCGCATTGGTCCGTAATTACAGGGATCTGCTCTCATTGCGCGAAGCGTCCCGGCTGGGACGACGAGTGCCCCTGGGTCAGCCGCAATGCGGGCGCGAGATCCGGTTTGACAGAAGCCACCCTGCATCTGTTAAGCTGCAGTCAACCCGCATGGTGAGGATGGGCCACCTTCCCGAGGGGGTACCCTGGCATCCTTGCCCCTTCGGCCCATCCTCCGCGGCTCTCGCTGGCCAGCCTCGTTCGAAAAACGCTAGCATCGCCCCCCAAGGCCCCTGCATCCTCGCCGCACGTCCTTCCGATATGGGTTAGCTGCACACGGAATGCGCTACGCTATGATGAGGAGGAGGAGGAGGAGGAGGAGGAGGAGGAGGAGGAGGAGGAGGAGGTGGGGGGGGATCCACCAGTTCAAGGCCGGGCCCAGCGACCGCCCCGCGTCGAGAAAGGAAGACCTCCTCGTCACCAACGCTGAGCGCCCAGGAGGAGGAGGAGGAGGGAGGAGGAGGAGGAGGGAGGGAGGAGGGAGGAGAGGAGGAGGAGGAGGAGGAGGAGGAGGAGGAGGAGGAGGAGGAGGAGGAGGAGGAGGAGGAGGAGGAGGAGGAGGAGGAGGAGGTGGGGGGTGGATCCACCAGTTCAAGGCCGGGCCCAGCGACCGCCCCGCGTCGAGAAAGGAAGACCTCCTCGTCACCAATGCTGAGCGTCCAGGAGGAGGAGGAGGAGGTGGAGGAGGTGGAGGAGGAGGAGGAGGAGGAGGAGGAGGAGGAGGTGGAGAAGAGTTGGATCGCCATCCGCTCATCCGCGCAGTTGCCGCTTCTTCCTCGGGTCGAGGGTGTGCGCTTCGCCCCGGCGCGGGCCCCCTGCTGAAGAGGAGCCGCCCTGCATGCGCGCAAGTGCTGCGACCTCCGAGCTTCAGTCTCGCACGCGGTCGGGAGGTCGCATGCGCGAAACGCTCGACCCACCCTCAGAGAACGTCTGGGGGAGGGGGGCGAGAGAAGAGCTTGAGGCACTTCAACCTGGACTTCGGCTCGTGGCTGCCCCTGGACTTCCTCCCCACCCACGCCGAGTTCATCAAGAAGAAGAGGGAGGTCGTGTCGTACATCGAGACCGAGGCGTCCTCCGTCTCTTTCTCCCCATCTCCGCCTCCTCGCCCTCCGCCTCGGCTTTGCCCAGTCACCATTGCGCTCGGGTGCGCGTGTCTTTGCTCTCCTGCTCCCGTCCCCCAAGCTTGGGCTCCGAGGTGACAAACGCGGGGTTGCTGCTGGAGTACTGCTTCGCCGCCAGGTGCCACGACGGCGGTCGTCGTCGTCGTCGTCGTCGTCGTCGTCGTCGTCGTCGTCGTCGTCGTCGTCCCACGACGGTGAGCGTCGACGTCGCCGCTGACATCATCGCCGTGTAGTCAGAGCTTTGAGTGTGAGGTTTACGTTGGTTTCGGAGGGGGCTCGCCGTTTTTTATAACCATTCCATTGGCTTCCCTCTGGCGCGTCTCGTGGACCTGAGTGCGTCTGAGGCTCACACGGTGGCCTCGCGCCTCCCACCAGACGTGCCAGATCTTCGGATGTGGCCGTCGCTCGCCGCCAGGCACCATGACAGGCTGATGGCCAACGCCATCCTCTTCTACAGCAACCGCAGCGAGGGCCTCCTCCGCTGGGCGGCGGCGCAGAACGGCTCCGAGCCCGAGCCCGCGCCACGGCGGCTCGAGTCCATGGAGCCAGCTGGGAGCCAGAACGCCTCTCTCTCTCTCACACACACGCGCACGCACACGCGCACGCGCACGCACACGCACGCGCGCACGCGCACGCGCACGCGCACGCACGCACGCACGCACGCGCACGCACACTCACACGCACGCACACGCACACGCACACGCACACGCACACGCACACGCACACGCACACGCACACGCACACACACACACACAACACGCACACCGCACACACGCACACCGCACACACGCACACACGCACACACGCAACACACAACACACCACACACGCAACACGCAACACACACACACAACACACAACACGGAACACACGCACACACACACAACACAACAGACACCGCACCACGCACACACCCACCACGCTACACCGCCACACACCCACGCACCACACACACAACACCGCACACACGACACACGCACACCGCCCACGACCCACGAACCCACGCACACACACAACACACACACACACACACGCACACACGCACACACACAACACACACACACACACACGCACACACGCACACACACACAACACACACACGCACACACGCACACACGCACACACGCACACACGCACACACGCACACACACACACACAC